GCTGGTGTCTTGAATGCATGTAAAAGATAGTTCATACGTAGGCTACTGGAAAAGTTTCTGCAATCTAATATTTCCAGTGGCGCCAACGTTCTGTTATCATATCCGTAAAATTAGATGTTTTTAACTTATAATTCAATTGACAGTTTGTACCCAAGCCAATTAGTTTTGTTTGCATAGTATTTTAAAAGAAGTTATTTTGTGAGAAAATGGAAATTTTGCGTGAAAATTTTCGGGCAATGATTTTTTACGATTACAAATGTAATCTAATGCATCGATCGACTTCATTTGGGGATGAAGCACCATCCAATAGGACTATTTATAATTGGTTTGCCGAATTCCAGCGTGGACGTGACGAATTCCATTCACGTCTGTTGTTGCCACTAATGTTGATGCTGTGCGTAAAATGATTGAGCGAGACCGGCATATGACACCGCGAGATTCAGGCATCCTTAGGCATTGATATGAAAGCAATACATATGATTTTGCATGATCACTTGAGCGTATGGAAACTTTGCAGTCGTTGGATCTCACACAATTTGACCGAAGCTCAAAAACAAGTTCGTGTTAAATGGAGCAAAGAAATGCTCAAGAAATTCAACCGAGGTCAGTCAAATTTGGTCTACATCATTACTGGGGACGAAACATGGATCTATTTGTATGAGCCCGAAGGTAAACAATAATTCACTATTTGGGTATTTCAAAATGAACCGAAACCAACAAAAGTTGTTCGTTCACGCAGTGCTGTCAAGCAAATGATTGCTTGTTTTTTCAGTTATACCGGACATGTGGCAACCGTGGCTTTAGAGGATCGAAGGACGGTAAATACTGATTGATATACAACAATTTGTTTGCCAGAAGTCATAAATGAATTGCGTAGAATAAATCGAAATCGTCGCACCATTCTTCATCATGACAACGCCAGCTGTCACACAGCACGTCAAACCGTTGATTTTTTATCCAGTAAAAATGTCGAATTGATGACTCATTTCGTATTCACCTGATTTATTATTTAATGACTTCTTTTTATTCCCAAACATTAAAAAGAAGATGCGTGGTGAGCGATTTGAATCGCCTGAAGCAGCTGTTGAAACATTTCGTACTGATTTCTGAGATTACTGTCTCAGAGTGGAAAAAATGCTTCGAAAATTGGTTCAAGCGTATGCAAAAATGTATCGATCTTAAAGGCGAATACTTCAAAAAACAATAAAGCTATTTACCGAATTTTACATGTTTTTTTTTTCATATTGTTTGCAGAAACTTTTCTAGCAGCCTACGTATTCTTCGCATGTGTCTCCGGCACAAAGGATTTTGCTAACAGATTGCCACTGTAATATAACTTTGACAAATAATGTACCAAATATTTACTTTTTTCTCTATCAATGATACATTAATCGAAACAACAACATACGTAGTAATATTGAACTTTTCTTTTGCTAATTTTCCCTCGTCGACAATTTCTTTGAGTTGATTACTAGTTTATTTCAGTCCAATTAAATCCCAGGATTTAAGAAATATTTGTTGAGTTAGGTGAACAAATATGTAATCAAATGTCTTTAGTTTATATAATTATAGGCCGTTAATCTTTACGTTGACGATGTCACTAATTTTTACTTTAGGTTAGCAATTCTGTTACTACGCCATTTTCTGTTTTTTTTTTCGCTTGCTATGTCATCAGTTTTGTGTACTGGCGTCTTTATTGTTCTCTTACAAAAATAAAGTTATGTGTATGTTTGCGTAAACGCATTGTTGTAATTATTATCTATGTCCAACAGGTTATGGGTCCAGAGCAACGCACATAAAAGACATAAGTATTCTTTGACAAAGAGGAAGAAAAAGAAAGTTGTGACTACCTCTCTGCTTGGTTATACCAATTTAAATATAATTACTACCGGTATTACAAATATTGTACTATGGTAACATCAATTACAATTTCCAGTGTCAAATATAGAGAAATTAGATGGGCAATCAAATTATGCCTCATAAAAATTTGCAATTAAGATCTCATGCTTGAAAGTCTTTGGAAGTTTGTAACTAATTTGACGCGTAATGAGAATCATGTATAATCTGCTTACAAAACAAACAAGCTGTTCGGAAATTTCCGAAAGTAAAGTAATGGAGAGCGTTAGTAAGTGTGCTGGAACTAATTCACAGTGATGTGGCAGACTCAATGGAGGAATTATCATGGGACGGTGCAAGATATGTTTTAATTTTTCTTAAGGAAGGAAATCCAATTAGAATGAAGAAAAATAAGCTATTTTCAAGAATCTTTTTGAAGAAAGAATGCTTGTACATTTTTCAAACTTGGACTTTATTTATACGTGTTTTGGACTATCCATATGTATTTTTTCAAAAAATATTTCAAAATATTTTTTGGCGGACATATGAAGCATCCCATTTAGGTGCGTTCCATTTAAGGTCTGCGACGACCACGACCACGACCGCAGTATTTGCCGTTCCATTAGCGTACAGGTGCTGCGGGTGAAATCTTTAGTGGAACGGATTTTGTGGGTGAACAGTCTTTGTAACATGAATGCCATTAAGATAATCGTAATGCGCTGTAGAAAATATGAATCTAAAGACTCGAGTTCTGATGATGAATGGGAATTAGTGTTACGTAAAAGAAAAAAGCGTATACTTCGTCCGCGAATTCCAAATTATGTCGATGTTGTGGGCCGCTACATGGATTACGATTTCAAAAGTCATTTTAGGTTAGTGAACATACATGATTTTTCACTACCAATTATTCACACATGCTTCTTCGTCTTACGCAAGTTGATATTAACAATAATATTTCTTCTTATTTATAGAATGTCGAAGGTGACTTTTGAATTTCTTTTACAAATACTCAGGCCATATTTAACGAGACAAATAAAGGGATCTCCTATGATACCACATCATCAATTAATGATAGTTATTTGGAAAATGGTAACGATGGACTCCTTCAGGTAAAGAAACATTCAAAATAATGTAATAAATAATTATTAATTCACAATAAAGTATTTGTATTTCACATTTTTTAATAAATTTCTTTCTTAAGACCTGTTTGCGATAGATTCAATGTTGGAAGAGCAACTGCTGTTCGAGCTGTGCGAAGGGTCACTCATGCACTTTTCTTAAATGTTTCAACATTTATTAAATGCCCTATAGGTGATTATGCTGAAAGGATTATGTAAGGATTCGTAGAAAGCAGTGGTTTTCCAAAAACCATTAGAGCCATTGACGGTATTCACATTCGAATAGATGCTCCAAAAGAAAATTCTGTCGATTACATAAACCATAAAGGATTTCATTCGATACAGTTATAGGTAACAAGTATTTTAATTTGTTAATAACGAATAGTCTTTTAAAAAGATTTGGTTACATCTGCGTTCATTTACAGTTGGTGTGTGATCACAGAACTTTGATCACACAGTTGGGCATCCTGGCTCAGTTCATGACCAGCAAGTTTTTCGACAATCTGAGATAGCAAACTACTTGAATGGTGAAGAGAAGTTTCCAGCTGACACAGTCATATATTGAGAGATGCTGCATACGAGATTCATCAACACTTACTGACTTCAGAGACAATGGACACCTTATAATAGCACAGAACAATTATAATTATCGCCATTCAGTAGCCAGAGTGACAATCGAAAGAGGCATTGGTCTATCTATATGAAAGGGAGGATGAGAAGTTTACTGCTTATGTCAAGAGTGGATTTAATGACGGAATATGTGATAGCATGCTGTGTGATTCACAATATCTGTATATTAAGAAATGATGAAATTGAAGTTATCACCGTACTCCAGAAGAGTATGATAGAGGTCATGTTATTTTATATCAAGGAAGACCAAATGCTGGCGGAATTGCCAAAAGAGATTTAATTATGAATATTTTACATCAATAGTTTAAAAAATTGTTATGCAAGATTCACATACTATGCACGTATGATTCAATAAGAGAATTTTTATCAGAAAATAAACTTACTAAATATTGTATCATTATATGTCGGATGTCTTTAAAATAAATATTTATAATAAATATTTCATTGCTCTTTATTTGATGTTATAATTTTATTTACATACCACATTTACAAGTTTTACAGACATACTTATAAAATGTAAGAAATACAAAACATATATAAACTGTTCTATTAAGTTTATAAATTTTTCTATTATAAGTTTTTTAATTGTTTTGATAAATGTAGTAAGTAAACTTAAAAAAAAAATGAGATCATAGAATGACTTTGTATTATAATATAAGTAATATAATATGAGTAATATTTATATCGGTATTAAACAAAATAAAATTGATATAAATTTTTCTTTTCACGCAAAACTTATGGGCACACGATGTTTGTTTTTCTGCTGAATTTGCATTTGGCAATACGGTAATAAAACACAAATTCAGCGAGAAAAAAGTATTGTATGCCGCCAGCTTAAAATTCATCTAAATGTAAGATATTACAAAACAAAATATTACATAAAAAATAAAAGATGTGTTATTATTAATGTATTAAAGATCGTTTATATTGGTCGTAATCGTATTCCATAATCTGAAAAGTTGATCAATCACACTTAAGTATTCCCTCTCATTCAACTGTAAAAGTGGAATACTCGATTATGATTGATCAATTCTTACAAAATATGAAATACGATTAGTATTTAGGGCAGTACAAATGCTCCCTTATGCATTATAATGACATGAAAACAAATTTCAGCAATCTATAAAATACAATAAAAAATATTCTATATTAAAAAGAAATAACGTTTAACTTTCTATTCGTGAAATATTTAACGATATTGTATTATTGCATAGCTTTTAAATGAAATACAAAATATGTGCAGTGAAACACGACATTGTTAAACGTTAAACAGAATAAAGACTTTAGTTATGATTAGCTATAATAACTTTGAAAGGAACGAAAAAATATTGTACTTTTTAGAAGACACATTTTTTTTAAGTTAAGCATTAATTACTTTTCAGCTAATTTAGTCAAAACTACAAGGAAAACTTCTCATCCATTATTAGTCTTTCTTTATGCCTTTCAGCTTTTGTTTTCTTGTGTTCATTTTTTTGATCTATAAGCTTTTTCTTAAACAGACCGTACATATTTTCTTTTGATGCTGATTGCACTTTTCTTTTAATACCACGTACACTTTCTGTTGATGATAGCTCTATAAAAAAACTATTATTAAATATTTGAATAAAATTTTAACAATTCAAATATTCATTATTTGAACTAAATAAATACAACATGACAATTAATTGTGATAATAATCAAATATAATAACATTAAAAGTTTTTATTTCTCAACTAATATTTGAAAAAAAAAACGTTAGTTAAGTACAGGACTCTTAATTTCAAAATAACGATTGTGTAATGTAAAAGGACAAGTAAGAGTCAGATAAATAAATAGAAAACGCTTTATCACAAATATTCAAATAAATATACTAAGAAACAATAATCAAATTATAAAATTTACTTTAGTGAATCGACAATTTAAGTCGACATATAATAAAACCGACATTGTTCACCAAACGATGTCGGTTTTATTTTGTCCAAAATATCCATCACAATTTTTCTTCAACATAGTGATTTTTATCTTTACATCGCGTTGCGTTTTTTAATGTAATAGGATAGATTTTTGTATATAATTTTAGTTGTACATCTGAAGAGGGCTGAATTATACAACCGTAACGTGTAATGCATGTAAATTGTCGATTCGTTAGAGTAAATTTTATAATTTTATTATTGTTTCTTAGTACATTTATTTGAATATTTGTGATAAAGCGTTTTCTATTTATTTATCTGACTCTTACTTGTCCTTTTACATTACATAATTGTTATTTTAATATTTGAAAAACAGACCACAACATAGATGATTTATAAACTTACCAGATGTAGACTCTGTATTAACAAATAATTCTAAGTTCTTGACCTGCTTAACAGAAAGTCCCGTTGATGATGCAACGGCGACTGGAGAGTATCAGGCTCTTTTCGAAAAGATATCCATAATCTGCAAAAGATACATATATTAAAATACAAGAGGAAATGTAGAATAAACTTTTCACTACATTTTTAGTCTAATTTTTCTTGAACTTCATAAAATTGCCAAGTCCGCCTATCATTGCGTGATAAATTATTGTGATCTTTCACGCTTTTATAAGTTTTTTTCTCAGTTTTGCCGCACATTGTGGCACCTGTGATCGTCCTTTTTCCACAAGAATTGCACTAATTTTATCTCATATTTTTTTGTGTGAATATTTTCCACTTGGAAAATTTATTTTGAAAAATTGTATACGTGTCTAATAACAGTATAGCAGCTATCGATCACCTATACATAGAACCTGAAATATACATTAAACTTGTGATCAATTGATTCATTCAATGTTCATTAAAAATTGAATAAACGCTTTAACTAACGTACTGTCAATATCATCACTTAAAATCTTTATTTCAGCATTCGTTTCATGTATCGGTTCTTGAACTATAGGCGTGATTTGTTGAGTTGGGACTGATTCGATATACTATTTGTATTATTTATTATATTTTTGTCTTTCACAGTTGCATTTAATAAAGAAAATTGCGTTAAAGCAGAAACAAAGTAAGATTAAGTATGTTAATTAAGGAAAAGTAATGTTTCATAACATTCAGAATATATTACATACCATTTCGCGCACGTAAAATATCTTCCTGAGAAAGAATAACATCAACTACAATGTTTCTTTCCGGATCATATAAAGAAACTTTTTCCATTGTTACAAATTTGATAAATCACTGGGAACACAAAACAAAATATCCGCACAAAAGGATAGCAGACGACGAAACAACCACGCTGATCCACGTACGAACCATAAGCGTCGTGAGCTTGATGCGGTCGCGATTACGCGTCATATATGATCACGACCACAACGAACGCGGTCGTTATGTGGAACGGGTTTGCGGGCGTCGCGAGCGTTGCGGGTGTTTAGTGGAACGCATCCTTGGCAGGTCCGCGTGCGAGTTGCTTAGCTGTTTGTATTAATCCTATAATAGTTAGCAAAAAAATTCTTATTTATACTCATAATTCGTAGTTGGACTTAAAAAAAATCAAAAAAGTCAAAAATTTTGAAAATAAAACGCTTTTGAAAATGAATTTTCATTTTTTGACGTTTTTTTTCACAATTTTTGCAATAAATAATAATAATTTTTTATCACGATTTTCACAAACATTCAGGTTCACCGACATTGTACTGATGTCACGAAGTTGTGTGCGAAATTTTAGCGCGATCGGTTGAATAGTTTTTAAATAGTTCCAGCAGTGCAGAAAAATGCAATTTTGAGAAAAACGCGTTTAAAGTTTTGACAAGTAAAAAATGCATGATATCTATAATTTACCATTTAGTCAGCAATCTCAGCACCATACAACAGTCCTTCTGTTTCCTTGTAGAAGCTCATTTTGCTCTAATAATGGCTCTTTTCTTTCGAGCTTCTTTAGAGCATAAAAAGCTGCGCCGCTCCTGTCGAGATACCTGGCGTCGACGTTCTCAGGTAGTTCTTGATTTGGCTCCCAATAATTATTTGTAACTCTATCATAATTTATAAAATGGAAGAATATCCTTTAGTGAAGACTCTAGCAGCGATATAGGATGCAATTTCAACTATTTTCAGGCCAGAATTAAGATGTTTGCGAGCTAAACGCCAAATCGTAGAATTGAAACTTCCATTTGCGTTTTGCGTATAATCGCCCAAGCATCTTTGAAGTAATTCTTCCTTAGATAAATCTTCATAAATTGGAAGAATGTGTTTTGCGACTGTTGTCGAATGGAGGAGGGTGCATGAAGAGATCCATATTTGCTCCAATAGTTTCTCCTTTCTGCCACTTACACCAGCTGTCTTTGCCAGGCGGGCAGTATGCTGTGACTTCTCATCCATAGAGATCAAATGGTGTAATAAGTAGTCATAACACTTTTTTTCATTCCCTCAATACTATTCACATTTCTTCTAATTGCCAGACTGTAGTACGTTATGGGTTTTTTAATTAAAGCATCCGTTAGTTTGTCCTTATCACCAAGTTTTTTTTTTATATTTTGGAGCCGAGTGTCCATTCTCTTCTCTACGTGGCCAATGCACTCGCTTTTTACAATTTGAAATTCATCATCACAAGGATTCTGATCTAGAATGGTCTTGAAAGTTTTGGAGTTTCCGTTTCCAATGTAATTATCATATTTCATACCGTACATTTCTCTGGTCTTGAAAACATTTCTGTAATCGCATCGACCTCCATTTTTCTGGCTGAGTCCTCGTGATTTTTTTGTAGACTTTTCCTCGTGATTTATATACCACTCTTGGTATTCTGGAGTATTTACCATGTCCAAGATGTGCATGCATGACAATAGCTATTTTTGATAACTAAATTGATGACTTTGCCCGAATAGTAAAATAAATATGAGCGTTACAACTCTGTACAGCGATTTGAATCCACGTTTTTTTCACGAGCCATCTCCAGAAATTTTCAAAATGGACCTCTCATGTTCTTCATTGAATTTTTTTCTTTTTCGATAGCTCTCTTGCAGAGGCTTTCAAAAACAGATTTTGTACAGGAGTGGATATGCGTGACGATGTTATTATACGTGTTCTCATGCATTCCTTTGCAAATGTCCATGAGGTTGCAGAATAAATTATAAAAAATATTTAAAAAATACTCTCTCTATCAATGCCTAAGAGTCGCATAACAAATACCATCCGACGATTCACTTCATATCCAGAGTTGATTAGTGGTCCTGAATTGATTTCTCGACCACAGTGGCAAAGTAAAATTATTTTGAAACTGAGGCCTTGATTTTTAGCTTCTTCAAATTTCACATTCTGTTTACATTCACGACAAACAAGGAGCTCTGCCAAGGCTGTAAAACGGTGAATTTTTTTTCGATCAAACGATAGCCATGTAATAGATTCCAGTGAATATCTTCAGCACTAACATTGGAGAGTTTTCTTGCACTCGCACTTTCACAAACTGATTATCGTGAAAACTGATTATCATGGAACTTTCTTTTGCGTGACTTCGATATTTGTTTTGATTCGACGTGTGTGCCTTTCGGATAGGACATTTCGAATTTGCATTGTCGTTCAGTACAGGCCGAACTTCGGAGCTGAGAACTCAATACGAACTCCTACGGTCTCGACTAAATGCACACAATAGAAACATATAAAAGACGTTTACCTAAAAGATCAACCAAGTTTTCTTATGAGACATTAGCCTTATTCTGGAATAATGATAGGGATATTTTAAATGAGGAGACAGAAAGATAGAGTCTCCGCTCCAGGCGAGTGTATATCTGCGTATATCTGCTGCACGCTATTAGAGTCCCGACGCCGCTCAAGAGTATTGCGCTCGGAGGCTATAACTTCCGAACGGCTGCGAATTTCGTTTTAAAATATTGGGAACATATTCTTACAATATTAAATTAACATTTTATGCAAAAAATTCGATTTTTCGAAGGTTTTAATTAGATTTCCTTCCTTAAGAAATTTAAAGCAATGATTGAAAATTCGACAAATAAAACCATTAAATGTCTGCCAACCGATAATGGTAGTGAATATATTAGCCAAGAATTTGAAGGTTATTTAAAACAGCATGGCATAAAACAGTCTTCCCACGCCGCAGCAAAATGGTGTTGCAGAAAGAACTAATAGAACTCTCTGTAAGAAAACAAAATGTATGCTATTTGATAAAGACTTGAGTAAGAAGTATTGAGCTGAGACTATGAATACATTTACTTGAAGAATCACACACCAACATCAACCGATGTAGTACCTGAAGATATTTGGAGCGATCGTAAAGTGGATCCTTCACACTTAAGAATTTTTGGATGCAGAGCTTATTTCATGTGCCGAAACAACTTAGAAAAAAATTAGATCTAAAATCATGCACATATATGATGGTTGAATATAATATAATGAAGAGGTCAAGGGATATCGGCTGTTAGATTTGAAAAACCTTCGAAGAACAATTATGGTAAGGGATGTCGTTTTTCTTGATTCTGTCAAGCCAGCAATTAAAGATGAAATGAAGTCTGAAAAAGTGGAAATAGTGGAAAATGACATTATTATAGTAAAGACAATTTCAGGAAGCAGTGAGGGAAAAGAAGTTCAAGAAAATGACAGTGAAGAGGAAGAAAATCAATCGACATCGGAAGATTCAGAATATAAAACCAGTGAGGAAACAGAAAGTGAACCAATAAAGAGGAATATCAAAAAGTATAACTTGAAAGAAGATATCCGCAGCGAAATCGAGTTCCTAAAAGGAAAAAAGACATGCTTTATTTTGTTCATGTTATCAAATGAACTACATCAACATCACTACTGCATTCTTGAATGGTGATTTAAATGAAGAGGTATTTGTGGAGCAACTAAGTAGTTTTGTGGTACCAGGACAAGAGCAAAAAGTAAATTAGCGAAAAGCTATATATGGACTAAAGGACTAAGGCGACTCGATCGTGAAATACAAAAATCCATGATCTATTATCAAGAATAGGATTCAAAAGATCGAGATATGATTTATGTGTATACATGAAAAAACAAGAAGAGAAACAAATTATTATAGCTTTTTATGTAGACGATTTCTATATATATTTGTAAACTATAAAATAGAGAATCTGAAGAAAGAAATCGCCAAAGTTTTTAAAATTAAAGATCTAGGCGAGATTAAGGAGTGTTTAGGAATGATGGTCAGCAGAGATCGCAAGAAAGAGATCATTACATTGGCTCAAGAAAATTATACGAAAGATGTTCTAAGATGTTTTGGGAATGGTAGTGGAGTATAAACCCGTTGGCACTCCACTGATTCCAAACGAAAAGTTGGCTAAAAATACTAGCAAAAACAATAAATCCTTTTCAAGAGTAGATGCTTTAATGTACTTTTCTGTATGTACAAGGTCTGATGTTAATTATGCTATAAGTAGTTTAAGTCAGTTTAATACTTGTTATAGCAAAGAACATTGAATAACTGCAAAAAGTATTAAGTTATTTAAAGGA